TCAACTTAAAATATCTCTTGGACTCAAGTGTCACAAGTATCTATGTCAAAAAGAGAGTGATTATCGGCAGGGTATTTCATGGAGTCGTAGATATTAAATTCAACTTTCTCACCGTCGAACTCCATGGTTAATACTCCACTAAATACATCTATTTTTGCCTTGGCCGTTTTTAAAAAGGGTCTTCCTAATAAAATGGGGACAACATTTTTATCGTTCTCCATTTCGAGAACGTAAAAATTAGCAGGAAAAATTAAATTATCCACCATGATGAGTACATTCTCTACTACACCTTTTGGGTAAGCATTCGATCTATCGGCAAGTTGGATAACAATCTCTGTTTCATGTAAAGGTCCTAGTTCTAGGGACTTATATAGAGAGTATGAGATGACATTAATTGATGCATCCAAATCTAACATAGCCCTAGAAAAACTAGAATTTCCAAGTTTACATGGTATAATGAAAGGGTCACTATACTTTTTAGGAAGTTTCTTTTGAAAAATAGCTGATACTCTTTCACTCACTTGGATCTTATGTTTGCCATTTAATTTGTGTTTCCTTTTTAATTGTGCAAAGCTCTTTTAAAAACTGCAAATCTAGGGACACCGTTAATTAAGTTGAGAAGATGGATATTTACCTCGCATTTTGAGAAGGTCTCATAGATGTCTTTGTCATTGTTGTATTTGCGGTTATCCTTGAGAGCTTCCGGGAAAGGTGGCACCGGCTCGTATGAATCTAGCAGCAAATAAGCCCTCGAACGTTCATAAAAAGTGAAAATAAGCCCCTTTATAGGAAGCTCTGTCCGGCCGTCGACATTTATGGCAGTTTCCGGTGAATTTTTTTGATGAATTTTTTTATCATCTTTTTCATTAAGTCTAGTTTACTCATACAAAATTTCAGTTAGGCAATCGGGAAGGCAGTCAAATGAATTTTTGAAGATAACTGCGCAGTTAGGCAGCGCAAAATATTTTAGAAAATCATTTGAGTGTCTTCTCGATTGAATTTTTAGCTGAAATTTGGTGTGGGTAAACTAGACTTAATGAAGAAGATGAAAAAAAAAAATCATCAAAAAATTCCACCGAAAACCACCCCAAATGGTGACAGTCGGACAAAGTCTCATGTAAAAGAGCTTATTTGCACTTTTTATGAAAGTTCGAGGGCTTATTTGATAGTTCTTTTTTTTATTTCAACAATTGAATAGTAAAAAAAACTTCATCCTTTTTTTCCAACAATTGAATAGTGAATACATTACATGTATAGAAGCAGTTTGACTCCGTCTAAACAACAATCTGCAAAAGTCATAAAACACGGACATCATACAGAGTATTCTGGAAAACTTCAACTCATCGACTCCCATATGAGGAACATGAAACGAAGCGAAACATGGCCATATCTAAGAAATTTCATCGGGGTTACGAACAAAAAAAACTGCCGTACTGATGGATAGTGTACCCGGGGGGTAGCTTATCCGAGGGGTTATTACGGGGAGTAATAAGAGAGAAGTCGGAGCAAGTAAATATAGAGAGAGAAAGTATATTACAAGTGTGGAGCGTTTTCAGCGTGGTTAAAAATGGGGAAATGGGGTGCTATTTATAGTAGCAATAAATGCCGGACAGGGACACGTGTCAAGCGTCCATTGGCCGAGAGGTCACCTCAACTGGTTGGCGCTGGCAGCCGCATGTGGCTGCATTTAATGCGGCTGTTGGACGGGACGTTGTACAGGGTACGGTGATCTGTACGCATGTGGCGTGAATATCATGTCGGGAGAGGTGCCCTCGGCTGCAGGGGACTAGCCGAGGGCTCGGAGTGCCGGGGACCCCTGGGTGTCGAGGGCTCCAGATGCCGAGGGCTACTGATTTTTGCCGTTTTTCCCAGTAACTTCGTTTTGCTGTCCTGGCCCTCCTGTGAGAGTTAGAGCCTTCGGCCAGGGGGCCGAAGGCACCCCTGGTGCGCATCGTGGGCTGCTTGGTACTCTGGGCGCCGAGATTTGGGCCTGTTGGGCCTTCTGGGCCTGTTGGGCCTTTACTGGAGTAGTAGGAGTCTGTGGGCCGGGGGTTCCCGGGCCATATACTCCATCAGGAGTCCCTCACTCCTTTTGCCGAAAGGTACTTGAGGGAAAAGGAGTAATTCGTGTTTGTCCCCTGCCGTCGTTCGGTTCGCAGTTTGTAGAGTTGTGGGTAGTTTGTTGTTTGTTCATTCTGCCGAGGGCAGCCCCTCAGTTACCCACATGTCGGGACTTGAGGGATTGCTTTGCCGCCTGTTGGAATTTTTCACCAATTTTGTAATTTAATGATTTTCCCGAAGGGGTTCTCCAGTCCCCCACTCCTTGAGGCACTTGTAAAGTGGTGAAAAGGAGTAGAGTTTAGTCCGTTGTAGCATGGGGCCGAAGGCTGACGCTTTTCGTTTCATTTTGGGGGATGCCTCGTTAAAAACCTCATTAGGAAAAACCCTGGGGGAAAAAATCCTAATGAGGGAAAAAGAGTGCACCGAATTCCCCCAACGATGAATCGAAAATGTGAAACCCTGGTCAAAAATGGAGAATAATGGTAATGCCGAAGGTTCTCCTTGTTCTGAGGGCTCATGTGTTGATTAGCCGAAGGCTTGCTGTTGATGTCCTGGGAGGTGCCGAAGGGTAGCCCCTCAATCAGGGGATCGAGGGCGTGATGGATGAGGGCAATAGTTGATCATTGCCCGTGCTTGCTGATTAGTTGGTGATGAGGATATCCGAGGGCTCTCATTACCTGTGTGTCGTAGGCTATCCGTCAATGAGGCATACTCCCCGGGGGCGTCTCTGGGTAAGTGTACCCGGAGGCTCTCCTTGATAAAGTGGAGTGAAGTAAGAAAATCCGGGGGCTCCCAGAATATAGCCGTTGGAAATATAGCCGTTGGAATATGTAACGTCAGGATATAGCCGTTGGGGGGGGGTACACGTGGCGTGTGACGGTTGGCTGTCCGTGGGCGGCGTCACCGGTTGGGTGAAGACACGGCGCGTAATGATGGCGGTCCATCCGGAGGCCCGGTTTCGAGGCCCAAGCCCGGATTCCAGCGCCTATAAATACCCCATGGCCGGCTTCCTTCCCCCTGTGCGAAATCCCTATAGCGAAGCTCTGCCAAAATTTCTAGAGAGAGAAACAGCAGCCCTCGATCAATCCTTGCCTTAAGGTCAGTTCCCCCCTGCTCTTCTCGTTGTAGTTAGCTGTGCCCTGTGCCCTTAGGATAGGAGATAGAATTTTTTAGAAAACACTAGCGTTTCCGAGCCCTCGGACTATAGCCAAGATGTCTTCCCAGAGTGACTCCCAGGACATATCGAGGGATTCATCGGTGGAAGGGGAGAGCTTCTCAGACGCTGGGTCCTCAAGTGAGCAGCCCTCGGTCCAAGAGGACGTCGCGATGGCGATAGAGGTACAGAAAGACCTGACGGCTGAAGTCAAAGCCGAGGGCTTTGAGCAGGAGACGGAGGACGAAGACCTAGCCCTCGCCGTGCAGGTTGCAGAGGAGGAGGAAGCAAAGGAGAGGACAAGGGTGACAGTGGCTGTCCTTCCCCCCTGCGGCTCTGGTGAAGCAAGCAGCTCGAGGCCACTGAACCCGTCGCCCTTGAGAGTAGCCCTCAGATCGAGGGAGAAGAAGGCGAAAGCTGCTACTAGGAAGAAAGTCGGGGCTGCCGACCAAGGGAAGCCCGTTGATATGCCCGAGGGGTATTCTTGGCTGAACACTGAGGCCCTTGAGATAAAGTCGAAGGCGGACAGGGCGGATTTCTATGTCACGCAGCTACACGTAGGGCCCTCAGCCGTGGTGGTCGAGCCGGGAGTTGACGATGTGCTGTCTCGGGCGCCCGAGGGGTGTATTGCAGTACACGTACTGTCGATCTCCATGGGCCTTCGGTTCCCTCTGCACCCCTTCCTCCGGGAGTACCTTAGGTTTGTTGGCTTGGTCCCCTGCCAGCTGACACCTAATAGCCACTCCTACGTGGCGGGTTTTTTGAACCTCTGCAGGGTCCGAGGGGTGACCCCCAGCCTGGACTTGTTCTTCCAGAGCTTCAACCTCTGCCGAGGGGGTCACGCGAATGCCGAGGGCTTCGCCAACCTGCAGTAGATAGCTAGGTGGAAGCTATTTACAGAGGCGCCTTCGTCCAATAAGGGCTAGAAGGAGCGATGGTGCTACGTCAGAGTTGCTGAGAGCCCATTTCCGACGGAACATCGGGATCGCTTCCGTCGGCATCCGAAGGTTGGAAACGCCGCTCTCGAGAAGGATGGCTTGATAATAGCCAAAATCCCGGAGGGTCGCACGAAACAAATGTCTATTAAAGATTACACTGCCGACAAGGAACTCTTCGCCCTCGGCTTCCGGAGATACCGCTTCATCGGGGAAACGGACGAGAAGTATCCCGTTTTTGCTGAGGCCTTCGGGGGAGCAGGAGGTAGTCTACGAGGGCCCTTAGTCTTGTACTTAGGCATTCTTATTTTGCATCCCGATAGTTGTCTGTTGTATGGATCCTTCGGGTTAATCTTTTCTCTTCATTGTTTTGTAGGTATGGAGGCTCTCTTGGCCATGAAAAAGAAGAAGGAGAGGGCTCAGGTCCAGAAGAAGGAGAAGAAGGAGCCCTCGGGCCAAAAGCCCATTGATGAGGTCTTCCCGAAGGAGGTTGTAGAGCCTTCTGTTGATGCTGCTCTTGCTACTGTGGCCGGGGGGCCGAAGGCCGGGGTGGCCGCCAAGAAGAAGAAGGGAGGCAAGGGGGTGGAGCCCCCGATCAAGAAACAGAAGGTTGCCGGGGGCACCGTTGGAATGGCGGCCCCCATCATAGTAATTGATGATCAGCCCTCCGCTGACTCCCCGGTCGTGGACACCCCGATGGCTCAAACAGATCTTCCCCCGGAGAACTTGCCTCGGGAGATTATTCAGCTCTCCCTCGCCCCGGGGGCATCTGTGTTGCATGGTTCAGCTGAACCGATGTCTTTCCTGAGGGGGATTACCTCGATGATGGATAAGCAAGCCCTCTCCACCTACGACGACGACGCCCTCGAAAGCAAGGCCCTTCGATCATCTCTGGCTGTAAGTATTTTTACTTTGCTTTTATCTTAACACTTAGTATATTCTCAACGCCCGTCTGAACCCATTGTCCGTTATTCAACAGGCGTGTATAACCCTCGGTGAGCAGGCCCGAAGGCGCGAGGAGTGGCGCCGTCATAAGGCCGAGCTAGAGAAGTCCGTGAAGGAGCTGATCCATGACAAGGACGCTTCCCTCCGGGAGGTGTGCAAGCTGGAGGACGCCCTTCGGCAAGCGGAGCTGAAGCTGAAGGAGGCCAGAGATGACGGCAAGGCCGAGGGCAAGGCAGAGGCCGAGAGGGTTGCGGCCGAGGAGAGGAAGCAAGCGGCTGAGGATGCCGAAAAGGCCCAGGCCGAAGCTGTTGTCAAAGCCCAAGAAGAGGCCATCGCTGGGTTCATCTCCGAGGGTTGGAAGGCCGAGGGCCAGAGGGAGTGGGTGGCCTCTGTGGTGAAGGCCTCGATCGAGGAGTGGGTGAAAGGCCCCGGGCTCGACTGGATGAACGAGAGGGGCGACACCTATTATCAAGCCGGTGAGTTCTCCACCCAGCATCTGGTTTACCGGAGGCTCGCCCGGCATTTCGGCACCCCCCTGGCGGAGTTTGACCCGTCGGTGTACGGCCTCCCCCCGTTGCAGCCAGATGTGAGAGTCCCCCTCCCCGAGGGCGAAGAGTGCCCGGTGATTCATGATTCAATGATGATGAGCGGCGATGATGATGGTGCTACCGCCGGGGACAATGCCATCGAAGAAGAAATCTCCTCCAAACCTGCCGCAGGGACCGTCGATGAAGTGGCTGATAAATCTTAACTTGTACTTAGCTGATTTTTGAAAACTCTTTGTAATGAACCTTTGTCACCCCTCGGCTTTGGCCTGTATGTAAGAGTTACACTGACTTTCCTTTTGATGATTGATGGATGAATGTTAGCCTTCGGGCTTTTGTATATGAATGTGTTGTCCTTTTTTTTTGAATGTATACCTTCGTTTCATTTTGAATGTATGCCTTTGTTCCTTTGAATGTATGTTTAGGACTTAGAATATTTTCTTCCAATTGTGGTGCTTCTTGTAGCCCTCGGCTACTAGTAACCTTTAGTCGCTTTAACGTTTTACCGGGGGCTCAATGTTCAGGACTTAGAAATATTTCTAAGTGTTTGAATACAGTCATAGCCTTCGGTAGTTGGGCACCCTTTGCTAGATGTATGACCGAGGGCCCAACAAAAGTTAGGACATAGAAAATTTTTCTAAGTGTGGCACACCATACGACCTTCGGGTGTTCGTAGTTCAATTGCTGCGAGATGATTAGGTTGAGAAAATTTTCCTAAATGTAGCCCACCTTAGGACTTAGAAAAATTTCTAAGTGTAGTTTGCCCTTGGAAGCCCTCGGCTGGTGGTCTCCTTCCTGATGTGTGAATATTGGACCGAGGGCCCAATATATAGGACTCAGAAAATTTTCTAAGTGTGTTGTAGATGTTGAACCTTCGGTCAGTGAGGAGTCTGTCCGAGGGGAGAATATTTAGGACTTAGAAAATTTTCTAAGTGGATTTCAGATGTTGAGCCCCCGAGCGGTCCTGATAGGAGCCTTCGAATCATTGGGTGAACCTTCATGTCGCGTGGATATTTGGCTGAGGGCCAAATATTTAAGACCTAGCCTTACTTCCAAATGCATGGTGTCAAGTAGCCCTCGGATCCGGGGTGATAGCCTTCTCCTTGATGTATAAGTAGTTTGACCGAGGGAAAAATACGTAGGACTTAGAAAATCTCCTAAGTGATGTTGCATCATGTAGCCTTCGGCTATCACGGTCCCTCGGTTGAAATATTGATCAGGCCGGGGGCTCAATCTTTAGGACTTAGAAAAATTTCTAAGCGTTGCTTCCTTGTGTAGCCTTCGGTTAGCAATGTTCCCCAATTAAGATTTCCCGAGGGCGATATTATTTTGGAATAATCCCCCTTGGTTGGCTTTTGATGATTTGTAATAGATGCCTTCGGTTGTTGTGTGATATATGAGCCTCCGGCTGTTGTCATTTTCCAAAAGTGTGGACTTAGGAAAATTTGTAGGATATTGATGTTGTAGTGAGTGCTGGTGGGATATAGGTGCCCTCGGCATTCATTTGAAGGGTTCTTGAGTTGCCTTAGTCAGTTGCATCCCCTTTTACAGGACAGGACCCCTCGGTAGCAGTGGATGACCGATGGTAGGTGCCCTCGGCACTTATTAGAAGTGAACTCATCCCTTTGTATTGTTGAGTAGTAACCTTCGGGAAATAGGGGCCTTCAGTTACCGGAGGTGTTCACGTAGGGAGCCCTCGGTATGCTGTGATTTGTTGGAGTGTTGTACTCATTGATTTCTTGATGAGTCTACTCCCCTTCACCCCCTCTTTTTTTTTGGTTGGTGGTGAAGGGAAGGCATCAAGAAACTTGGTTTCTTGGTAAGGCTGGGCCTATCAGGAGACCATCAGAATACACTAATGGCTCTCCTCCCTCGGGTTAACCTTCCGAGTTCCGAGGGGATCGAGGGTCGTTTCCTGGGCATAAGATATGGTAGTCTGTAACCTGCCTCCCCTTGGGGGATGGCGCGGAAAGCGCCTCATTTTTGAAAGTCGTCCCCTCGGCGCTAGACATAGTCCGTGGCCTGCCACACCCTTGGGGTGGTAGCGCGGGGAGCGTTTCGGTTTGGAAGTCGAATCCTGGGCATTTCTCGTGCCTGTCATACCCTTGGGGTGATGACGCGGAAAGCGTTCCGTTTTTGAAAGTCGAATCCTGGGCATTTCTCATGCCTGTCATACCCTGGAGGTAGTGACGCGGAAAGCGTTTCAAGGAAGGGTTTTCATTTGCACACTAGTTGCAAATGGCCGGGGGCACTACGTGCCGCCGGCACCGATGGTGGCGCCTTCGGTATATGCGTCCTCGTGGGGTACGGCTTTTAGAAACAACACTCGGTGTCAGTTTCGATATGTAGCCCCCCGGTACTTGGTACCGAGGGGTCTTCTGTAGGAACACTTGGTGTTCTTCTCCTATTTGACGTTGATGGGTGAGTTGTGTACCCCTGGCACTGGGTGCCGAAGGGTCTTCTGTAGGAACACTTGGTGTTCTTCTTTTTGATGTTTGACGGTGGAGATGTGTACCCCCAGTACTTGGTACCGAGGGGTCCTGATATGAAACACTTGGTGTTTCCTGTTGTTGAAGGTGTTGATGGTGTCCGCCCTCGGCACCTGATGCCGGAGGGGGTTCTTCTCGTGGTGAGGCCTGGGGCCTGTAGTCGGTATGAGGGCTTGGCCGCTCTTAAGTGTTTTGTGGTTGTTCTTGGTGTCTTGAATGTGTCTTCATTCCTCAAAATTGGAGGCCTTGGGCCATAGGATAGTACATTCACTAGTTATGAGGGCTTGGCCGCTCTTACATTATTGATAAAATTTAACTAAGTGGTGTACATTCCAGTGCCTAGGGACCTCTTTTCCGTTGGGGCGTTTGAGCTTGTAAGTCCCAGGTTTGATGATGGCTGCTATGATGTAGGGGCCTTCGAACTTTGGTGCCATTTTGCCTCCCTCGGTCGGTTGGCTGGCTTCCCTCCTCCGGAGGACATAGTCCCCCACTTGGAATTTTCGGGTGCGAACCTTGGCGTCGATGTAGCCTTTGACTTGCCTTCGGTAGTTTTCTGCCCGGATGAAGGCTTGCTCCCGGCGTTCTGAAAGGAGGTGGAGGTCGAGGGCCATGTTGCTGTCGTTGACCTCGGGGTCATATTGGATCACCCTCCGGGTGGGAAGGGTGACTTCCGTAGGAGCTTTGGCTTCAAAACCGTAGCAGAGGGAGAAGGGTGTTTCACCTGTTGCTCGCCGAGGGGTGGTGCGGTAGGCCCAAAGGATGTTGTGGAGTTCTACTACCCAGCCACCGCCCTCGGCCTCCAGCTTCTTTTTTAGGCCCTCGAGCAAGGTCCGGTTGGCGTTCTCTACTTGCCCGTTGCCTTGAGGGTAGGCAACGGAGGAGAAGGTGTGTTTGATGCCCCATGCCTCCAGAAGGGCACAGAAGGGGGCTGCCTCAAATTGTGTTCCATTGTCGGAGATGATCTGTTGGGAGACGCCAAACCTTGTGAGGATGTTCTTGAGGACGAAGTGACGGCACTTCGCCTCTGTGATGCTGGCGAGGGGCTCAGCCTCCACCCACTTGGTAAAGTAGTCGATGGCCACAATGATGTACCTGTTGTTGGAGGTACCCCTCGGCAGTGGGCCCACGAGGTCTATCCCCCACCGAGAAAAGGGGATGGATGTGCTGACGGGGGCATAGTTGACCACTGGCCTGCCGGGGGCTTTCTGGAAATGTTGGCATGCGGGGCATCTTCGGGCAAGGTCAGCACAATCCCTGGCCATGGTTGGCCAGAAATAGCCCTGGAGAATGAGCCTTCGGGACATGGAGAAGGGTCCCTGGTGAGCCGAGCAAGTGCCACTGTGCACTTCCTCCATTGCAACCTCAGCTTCATCTTGATGGAGGCACCGAAGTAGTGTGCCGTTGTAAGATCGTTTGTAGAGCCTTCCGTCTTCGATGGTGTAGCTAGGAGCCCTCAGCTTTGCTAGTTTAGCACGGGTCTCGTTTTCGGGTAGCTGCCCTGTGGAGATGAAGGTGATGATATCTGAGATCCAGTCCTCTTGGCGTTGTTATATGTTCATGACGGGGCTCGCATGGATACTCGAGAGACTGAGTTCCTCAATTTTAGCAATCTTGGAGATGTGCTCGGGGGAGTCGGCCGAGAGCTTAGATAGTATGTCGGCCTCGGAGTTCTGAGCCCTCGGTATTTGAGTGAGAGAGTGTGCCTCAAATACCTTAAGCAACTCCTTGGCCGCTTCCTTGTATTGTTTCATTCTTCCCTCCTTGGCCTCATACTCCTCGGAGATTTGGCCAACGACCAACTTGGAGTCACATTTGATATGGATCTACCGAGCCCTCATGTTGGCAGCCAGCCGAAGGCCACATAGGAGGGCCTCATACTCGGCCTCGTTGTTGGAGACTTTGAAGGAGAAGCGGATTGCATAGTAGGTTTTGAAGCCCTCGGGAGTAACGAGGACTACCCCTCCCCCGCATGCTTTGGTCGCGGAGGAGCCGTCGGTGTAGAGGGTCCACCAGTCGTCCGAGGTAGCCGAGGGCTCCCCGTCCGTGGCTGCCCTCGCGGTACACTCCGTCACAAAGTCCGCCAGGCCTTGGCCCTTGATGGCAGGCCTCGGACGGATGTCAATGTTGTACTGGCTTAGGAAGATAGCCCATTTCACCATGCGGGAGGAGCTGGTGGGGCTCCTCATGAGGGCGCCGAGGGGTTGATGAGTGAGGACCTGAACCGGGTGAGCCTGAAAGTAGTGGCCCAACTTCTTGACGGTCCAAACGATGGCTAACACCGTTTTTTCCACAGGGGAGTACCTGAGCTCGGCCTCCCTTAGGGTCTTGCTTACATAGAAGATGGCATGTTGGATGCCGTCTTCCTCCCGGATGAGCACGGAGCTGATGGCTGCCGGGCTGACCCCAATGTAGAGATAGAGGGTCTCCCCTACCTTTGGTTTG